TAAAGCACATTTTTATATTATCTGCAGAAAATTATATTCACATTTAGCAAACATTAAGTGGCAGTACTATTTGTTCAATTTAGCAAACATGTTGAACACCTCTCAGATTCTCCATGTGAAACATTGTTTAACACTTGAGGGCTCCAAGACCAGTTCCTCAAAAGTCTTAAAATATAATGGTGGGAACATGCATGTGATCAGAAGGAAATATATTAAAGAATAAATTGCTAAGGGAGCACAAATGGGTGAATAATGAATTTTGCTGGAGATCAGAGAAGCTAGGCCTAACAGCATGAATAGAATTTTGACAAACATGAATGTACTAAGAGCCTTCAAGGTACAGGGAAATGACTGATGTACAGAGATTAAATTAGTGATATATTCAGGGTGAGTGTGGCTACTGCTTGGGTACATTTGTTTGGGGATGGAGTCAGGAAAGCAGTGTAGCAAAGCATGTTGAAACAGGATGCAGAGACGGTCAGCTGGTCCCAACAGTGGGGACCCAGAAGGTAGTAGAGTTCATTTGGCAGGCACCATAGAGCTGAGTATTTTTTAATAGAGGAAGTAAGAGGAAACAGTTCACATTCTAAAACACAATCTTTGTCAAGGGAGTTTAGTGGTGGGGGACAAAGAGCAAGAATAGTTAGAAAGTTGCCATATTCATTTTAATGCAAGATGATAGTCTTTGTTTGGATACAATTTCCAGGAAGAAAATGGAACAGATGAGTTAGCTACACAATGGAAGAATGTTCCACAGATTTAGGAAGTATTCATTCCATTTAAGGGGAAAATGTGGTAAAAGTATGTCTCAAGTTTCTAGTTTCTTAGTTCCTTGGTGAACAGTGGTGGTTGAGCATGGATGGATGTTACCAAATATAAGAAGTACAAGAAGACACAAGGAAAGCTCAGTATTTGAAATATGGTTTTGGGTGTCAATCATTTGCAAGTAACGTTGGAATCAGGTGAACAGATGAGATGACCCAGGGAAGAATTTACTGTGAGAGGAGTATGGGAAATAATCATACTTAAGGGGGTTTTCATGATGAAATTATTTCCTTTAAAAACTCTAATTTGGGGGGCGGAGCAAGATGGCGGAGGAGTAGGAGACCTGGATTTCGTCTCCTCTCAGGAATTCAGCTGGATAGGGATCAAACCATTCTGAACA